TATATATATATATATATATATATATATATATAGAAGCAGAATCATAATGGCATCATCAGAACTCTACCATTATTCTACAATGCATTTTGTTACAGTATAACAAATTTTGTCTTGTGCTTCATGTATTCTTCGGAATGATGATGTTTTGAGAAAATATCAGCGGTTTTTTATAATTTTGTGTTTGTTGAGAACTACGACTTTTTACAAAAAAAAAACGTTTTTCATCAATTGTGATCTTATCCTGTTGCACAGGCTGATGAGATTATCAGATTTTTCTGCCGGTAAGTTCAAGTCTTTCATATGCAATCTTTGTGAATATAGATTTACATGTTTTTCGAGAATTTGATCAGGCACAGTAATGCACCATACAGCAGTACAGTATTTCTCCATATAACAAATTTGTTTGGTCCCATAGGGTTCTCGCTCTACGTTACAGGTGTTCTCTAAATAGTCTAGAGTTCTAGACTACGTAAAAATATTCTCTCTACAATTAATTTTTTCTGATCCAGCGATATTTTTTGAAGAGAGGGACAACTCAATATGCACCAAAAATTAAAAACCCTGTTGGGAACAATGCTGTATTTTGGTATCCCGTTAGGTGTCGCTAGTTGTCATTTTGATGCTGACCGGGAAAAAATTCGGATGTTACAAAAATTTGTGGCGCCTTTCTACCGCTTTAGTTCTGTGAGTGATTTCCGTGTCTCTCTTTGTCCGTGAGAAGGATATTTCATCAGTGCCGTCTACTGGGTGCGTGTATTTGGGCATTTAATCTCATGTCGTCTTAAGACACTTCAGTGATTCAGTCGCACAGTAAGGATCGGGCATTCGCGTACCCTTTTAACTCATTCGCGTCTTATATTGACAGTATGTATTACTGTACAGTGCAGGTAATGATTTATTCGACTTAATTATTTGAATCATTCTCTGGTTTTGGTCATTTTCTGAGCTGTCCAGATTTCGTGTGCTAATTCTTTGAACTTGAAATATATGGAAAAAAACGGAACTAGTGCTGAGGGCTTCGACTCATTTGCTCACGCCTACTTCAAGGGGATCCTTGTAGCAGTTGGCCACTGAGTAAATACGCAGTACATCAAGTGAACAAACGCATTTTGCTGAATCGAAGTGGCCCCTTCCTCGCGCTGAACCCGCCGAATGTTGCGAGGACACTTTCGAGCTACTTTTGTGATGTAATTGCGAAATCTCCGATCAGAAATACATCTTTAGCTGTGAAAGTTACACAGCTTGTTTTCGCTGAGATCTCAGCGACAAGATAAATTCTATCCCCGTTGAAATTCATGAAGAATCGTGATATATTTGAAGAAGAGTGTGAATGCAGGGAAAATATCTCGATGCTCGATTTTTATTTCATTATGTTTCTTACGTCGCGGTTTCGCTGTGTTTCAGATAAATCGCGAAAAAATTGATATTTGAATCGTCGTTACGACCTGTGAATTGTGTCGAATTTTCCTCCGATACCGAGCGGTGAATACATTTCAAAGTTCCGAGAATCATTTAACATAGCAGAATTTCGTGACCGAATTTGAAGATATTCTTCAGTCAATGGATGCTAGAGAGATGTCAAGGAGAAATGCCTCTTCATGGGCTGATGAGGTGGAGGAAATGGACAGGATGGAAAATTCTGCTAAATCACCGGTGAAATCCAAACACGTGAAACTTGAAGAAAATCGAATGAAAGGTTGTGTGAAAAGAGAAATAAAAATCGAACCATCTGAAAATGCTGATGAAGAAGACCGAAAGCGAGATAACACTCGAGTGCCAAGCGATTTGAAAAAAGAAACCGAGATTTCCGTTGGTATAAAACTTGAGGAGGAGGATAACCGGAAACCTGTGGAAATAGTCGTCCGAAACACCAGGTCATCCTCGCGGAATATAACCGTTGAGGACGGAGATCGGAAGTTCCGTGGAAATACAGGAAAAACTCGGGAAGAAAATGGATCTGGGTCTCGTACCCTTGAAGCTCGGAAGCGTCCCCACGAGCGATCCAGGGGTGCATTAAAATCTACTCCCAGGAAAGCAAAGACTTTGTCATCTGCTTCGTCGACTGACGATATTAGCAGCAATTCGGACATGCTCAGCCCGCGTCAGAAAGCGAGAAAGCTCCAGCCACGATTCCGCTCGCGTAATTTTTCTCAGATCTCGAATTATAGCTCTTCGTCCCAAGATTCGAGTGGCTCGATGAGAAATAATCTGTGGAGCGTCAATAAAAATCCTGACGACTGCGATCTTACTGCGGCTCGGACACGCTTTTATCACACTGTAATTCCGGATGATCCGGAAAACCGCGAGGAAGATCCTGACGTCTTGGTCAGGAGACAAAAGCAAATTGATTACGGCAAAAATACGAAGGCTTACGAAAGGTAGGTTCCGTGTTTTCATATAAACACTCAATGTACAATTCTTCTGAATACTGTTCAGTATTTACTTGAGTACCACTCGCCCTGAAGTAAGACGTGCTCCTGAATTTTTACGCTGAAAAGTTGGATAGAAACGTATTCCTGAGTGAGACGCGCGCCCCATTTTTTTGAGACTGAAGATTGCAATATTTTGATAATGAAATGCATTAAAATGAAGTTAAATTTGAGTTGTAGTCAAGTTGGATGTTGATTTTCCATCATCTCCTGTTTTACATTGTCTGTTGAAAATTCCGCGTTGGAATCAAGTGTGATGCGCACCAAAGCTTTGAAAATCTTCAAAAAGGAAAATTTCCGCAACCACATCACCACATGTGATGTGCGTGTTTTTTTGTTTTGTTTTTTTTTCAAGAGGAAACCGTAAAAATTGACTCTTTCGAAATATTCGTTTTTTTTTCCTCGACGTTATTCCTACGTTTAAAAACCGGGATTTTCAAAACTCAGCGCTTGAAGGGTATACAGTGCTTATTCCGACAATCGCGATTTTAATCGGACGACATGAATAATTCCGTGATTGTCTTTCTCTGTGAACAGGTATGTTTCGAAAGTCGACAAAGATATCCGAACTGCGGACATGCCGTGGACGCCAAACAAGTATCAAAAAACGTCTCGTCGATCCTACGATACCCAAATCAAGCTCTGGAAAATTGCCCTTCACGCATGGGACCGTGATACCGAAGACGAGAGTATAAAGTGAACGCAACGACTACTTTTTGTTTAGTTTTAAATGTTTTATTTCCTCGTGAAAAGTACAAGCCAGGAAAATTCGATTTTTTCTGCGTGTTTAAATACGTTTTTTAAAACTCGCTTTTGTATGCCGAAGAATATCAAATTCGATTTTGGAAATTTGGTCGTAATTTTTTTTTATACAGTATACTTTTCAACATGATAGGTTTGTCGGGATTCTAATGCAGTATTTCTTTGTTCCAGATATTTCCGCCGTCTCGTCAATGAATTTTATATTTTTAGGCCAAATTCTTATCTCTCAAAATCGAGTTGTGTAAAAAACTAGAGTCCATTGTGATTATTCAGCTCTTGTCAGCTTTAAAATAAGATGGGCGATTTTCCGAACGCATTGCGCAGCGCTTGGCTCCCACGAAACCCGAAGGTTCGGGGGTTTCTTTTGGACATCACTGGCGTTTTGTACGAAAGTGGTGGAGAAGGTGGGAAAGTGATTCCTGGTTCGGTTGAAGCTATTCAGCGGTGAGGACTATTTTTATATTTCATCATGAAAACTTATACCTGTTTGATCAAAATCGACGATCATATTTTCAGCTTATCTCTGAGGTGTGTAAGATAAGTATTTTGGAAACTACGAACAAAAAAAACTTTCCGGGTTTTCTGAGGGAGTTACCGTGTTTTCCTGAAATGTAGATCGTACACCTATCTTGCAATCGTTGAAAAATAAGTCAATGCTGATAAACTAAATTATCTCGGGCAAATCCTTGAATTTTTCCATGGGATTTCTGCGGACTAATGCGTTAGATTTGGATGACTTTCCGACTATAATATTGCCTTCCATAAAAAATCATTGATATCGGTCAGGATTAATTTTGGTAGGAGGGCTAATTTCAGGGGAGGTGTCCAAAAATGCCGCTCTATATTGATGTACGAGGGTTGTCCCAGTTGTTGGCGACCTTGGTTATTTCTAGAGTTCGAAAGAAGACTGGAAACAACACGATATAGACATGATGTAAGGTTCTGTGATTTTTTCAGATGAAAAATTTCAATTCATTGCGTGATGATGAATGAAAACTTCTTAATTATGGCCGAAGTTCACAGGGTGCTAGAAAATTTCAGGCCATACTTTTTATTGTTTTAACTTTTATATTTTCTACATTTTAGATAATGGTTAAAACAACAAAGAAATTGTAATTTTCTGCTGACCTAACAAATTTTTAGCATACTGTAACATGGGGTGAGAACTCTGACCATAACTGGAAAGTTTTCGCTTATAACCATGCAGCGAATTGTAAATTTTTTTTTTGAAAATCCAACAAAAAAAACCAGAACCCAACAACATTATGGGCTGTATCATTTTTTTCTCCATCCCGCATGCTCAAAAAAAAAAAAAAAAAAACCAAGGGGAGGCAACCCCTCGTATTAATTATCCGATGACAGTTCGAAGGACCTCGGTAATTTTGATCGAACATAGGACATTAAGAAAGACAGGACGCTTCGTTAGTGAATCTGTTGATTTTTTTATGCATCCAAAAAGAGCGCCCGCTGAAATGAAATTGAATTGCTTCTCGATATTTTTAAAGAGCTTTTCTGTTAAAATTTTATTCCAGCATTCGAAATTCTGGGGTCCCGGTGAAATTTCTCAGCAACGAAACCCAGACGTCTAGGATTGGAATCGTGAAAAAGTTACGAAAGCATGGTTTTGACTTGTGCGTGGACGACATCATCACACCGTGTCCCGCAGTGGTGGCTGCTCTCAATGAACGCCAACTGAGACCTTACTTGGTCGTTCATCCGGATGCCCTTCCCGAGTTTGATGAGATCAGCACCAATGAACCCAATTGTGTGGTTATAGCTGATGCGGCGCATCACTTGTCGTACGAGAACCTCAACACCGCATTTCGTGTTTTGATGAATTCGGAGGAGAAGATTTTGTTTACCTTGGGGAAAGGGTGAGTGCTTTTCCGAGTAACCCGTGGAAATTGAGCGTTATTGCAGTGGGGCCATGACATGCAGAGAATTCGATTTTGTGACTTTTCGACAACATTTCCGGAAAAACAACGAAGGGCCGTGTTATTTTCCAAAAATTTGATGTCTCGACTCTCGAGGACGAATCGAGCTATTTTTGGTTCACAAGGATTAAAAATATATTTCAGTGTAAATTTACTATACAGTGAGACCCCCAGATGCAGACATAATTGCTGCATCAAGGGTGTCCCTAAGTTGAATTCTCTCTAAGTCGAGTCTTGTTTTCCCATAGACTTACATTATATAATTATTAATTGGTGCTTTATGGAAGAAATGTTCATCAGAATTCCATGAAAAAATTGGTTTGCCACTTGAATTTAATTCAGTGAAAATCCTTTCAACCCAATGAGAACATTTGGAGTATTGAATAGTATACTGCTGTACAGTTTATTGAAATATTGGCATTTGTAAAAATAACATCCAAGTCACAAAGAGAGAAGGAAGTCCCTCTATGCAATTGGTAATTTTTTAAATTAGCTGAATGCATGGGAAAATGATGGGAGGAATGACAAAGAATTTTTCTTGCATGAATCTTAGGGTTGAAAATATCTGTTTCTTGCAATCAAGCCAAATTAAAATTTATTGGCAATTTTATCATGCAATGTCCTCATGTTGAGTCAGTATCTTTATGTTGGGCCTTTTTTATGAGAAAGTTCGTTTTACCGTTTCTAACAGAGTTGTTATGCGAACGGAATAATGGCACTAACAAAAATGTTGTGAAGCCATTGAAGTATGTACACTGAAATGAGCTGTGCATCAGGTTATCACATGACAATTCATAGTTGCCTTTATTTGCAGAAAATTTTACCAAGAAGATGGTGAGCTGACTTTGGACGTGGGACCATTCGCAACAGGACTCGAGTATGCCTGTGGCGTGACTGCGGAAGTGATCGGGAAACCCTCGGAATCGTATTTCCTCGAAGGCGCCAAACGCCTCGGGATGAGACCCGAAGAAGTCGTGATGATCGGTGACGATATCGAAAGTGATGTTGGAGGAGCGATGAAGTTGGGGATGACGGGAATACTTGTCCGAACTGGAAAGTACCGTCCGACGAACGAGAATCACCAAGTGAAGCCGGATGCCGTCGTGGACAATCTCCATGCCGCGATTGACCAATTTTTGGAGTAGAAAAGACCGCACATGGCTCTCGAAACAAACTCCCTTGATGATCATCTGTTACGTTGGAGATACCCTCGGGGGCGAGACTCGCGTTGTTCGAGTGCTATGTAGTCATTATCTCATATCGTCCTTTTCAAAAAGAGCGTCGGAATATTTTCGAAATCGGAACTTAATCAAATCACACCTCGGAAGCCTGCGTTTTCCTTGACAACGATCATAGGCCTTTTGCGTGGGTTCTCGAGATATTGCGAGAAAAATAAGAAAGAAGCCGTGTTTCCCTGGAAATAAGACTAGTCTTATTCTGCTTTGCTTCTCCGAAGAAGTGGCTCATTTTTCAAGACGTGTTTTTGTGTGCTAAGTGGGGAAATTCCGGTCCAATTTTCGAAGTTGGAATGGATGATGGTGAGTCCAATTTTTGCAGTGAATTTGTTGTGCATTCAATCCCCACGCAATTCAAAGCTTCATTTTCTGAATCGAAATTTTACTTTGACATCGCTTCAATCATGACAACTCTATTTTTGGATGACTTCCTCATTAACAGATGCTTGTGAATATTTTTCGGAAAGGTCGTATTTTCGGGGAATCGCGGTAATATTTTTATAATGAAGCTCTAGTGAACAAATATTTAGGCTTCGGCGAGGTTTATGATGCATTCACTTGCATGCGAAGAAATTATCTTGAATTTTGATGTTCGCTAATAATCCGGAATATGGATGGTTCCATAATCAAAACTCAGTGAATCAGGCTTTTTCTCTTGATGTTCACAATCCCGTGAGTACCGTAATTGTTGTCTTTTTGGAAATGTTTACAGAGTTCATCGAAGTAAGTGCGTGTTTATCCTCTTGGAAATGCTCATTAGTTATGCTCAGAGGGAGTTCACCTATGGGTTGTATTCGAAGTCCATTGACAAAAGAAAATGTTTTGTTCTGTTCAAGTCGTTATGGAATGTGTTCGATTGGAAAGCTTAAAATTGCACTGATTTCCAGCGTTTTAAGAATTTTCTGTTTGAAAAGACGTTTTCCACGGTTGCTTATCTACACGATTTACAACCGTTAATGCAAATAGTTTAATCGAAATGTCACATTGTTGAAGGTCTCTAGAGGTTTCAACGAATCCGCAGACACGTAATATGACGTTACACTTCGTATAAACAAACAATACAAATTATGACGTGGCAAGATGATAGCGAGTATGCCACAAGCGTCCGAAAACGTTTCAGAGATGTACTGATCTACAGCAAGCTGCGCGCTCACTAGCGACCAAAGCGCACTTGAGCTTCGAACAAGCGCATTTTGTCGAACTACTGAAGCCTCGCACACTGTTACTTGAATGAGCTCTGATTGAATAGGGCCGCTCCGAAGAAAGTGAAAATGGATGCCTTAGGAGGATAGAAGAGATGTCGGTCGAAGCCCCGTAATTTATTCTGAAAGGGTGATGAGTTTAACGCGGACGCATTGATATTCCGTGGACATGCGCGATTTGTGTTGAAGCTGTGTCAGAAGTCCGAGCGTGATCGTGCTATTTGGTGATTGCTATGAATTGGACGTTAGAAGTGCTTTCTTTTTCCAATTCTGTATTTAACTTATATACGTGTGTGCTTGAATACGAGTAATTACATGGATGCTTTCGAATGTGACATTCTTACACCTTATTCCTGATGATTTTTACTCATTCTGCACGCTCAGTCCAGCTTTTTTCAAGGTTTTCGTCGACTATGCGAATTATAGCAGTTTCAACTGAATCGAGTACTGTATAGCTTCCCTATGCCTTTTGAACTGTTTTACGTCCCAAAAGGGTAGATATTTGTAGTTTTCTCCTGCATATTTATTTCGTGTGTTACGAAGTTCAGAAAAACGTCTTATGAATTTTTGTAAGACGTTTTCAGAATTTTTGTAACGCATGAGAAGTGATTAAAATTTTTCCGATCGCTGTCTGGAATAACAATACAGGCCTCAACAATTGTTAATTCAAAGGAAGTGTGTTAATTCAAATTCACTTCAGAATTGCCGTAATCCGTGAATGACGGTAGCTGAGGTGTGATCAAATCTGCCAGAATAATGTTGAAAGATCGTGAAGGAATGATGTCAACTGAAACTGAGGTATTTTCTGAGAAGCGTGGAAGTCAGACAGACACCCCTTGCACTTCTGCCTGCGCAAACAATTTCATTCGTCAAGTGGAAATGAGGTTTTGCGGTGGATTGTAAAAATTGAAGTGCTTCGTCAAATTTTACTGCACATGTGTTCAATGCTCTAAAAAAGGTGCAGCCTGATCAAATGCTTGCAAGGCGGCAGTCGGACCAAATCGCAATCGTCAACAAGGTGAGGCATTCATTTGTATCCAGAACAATCGATATACGAAGAAGGGATTTTATTTCTTGCAATGGACGTGAAATTGTGCAACGTGTCTCTTTCCCATGATGTGCAATCGTAAAACAAAAACAAAACAAAAACTGCGTGGAAAAATAAAATGAATTTTCCATCACGTGTTCCCGTGTGTGAAGAGCCGGTTTTCTTCTTCGTTATCCATAGTAGCTCCAAACGAAGATGGACATGCTCACTCCGAGAACTGCGTTGCCGTTGATGAATCTGGAATAAATAAGTTTTCAGAATTTAAATCTTGGTTTAATTATCGCGTGAAGGCATTTTAGTTTCGAGTTGAATAGTAATTACGGAAGATTAATTTATTTTTCTTTCAGTATGTGGTTCAACAACTTAAAATGATTCAACTTTCCATCTGAAACGTTGGAAGAACTCTTCCGATATTTCTGCTACTTCTTCAAGTTCAAAGCTGCTCTTGGAAGTGCATTTGTTTTCACGGAGCAATTTATTTCAAATTACGGCACGTGGGATTGAGGATTGTCTCCCATGAGTCGAGCAAAATTGTAAATCTTTTTTTGGCTACGAGTGTTTTCTCAAGCTCTTGATTTTTTGCGAGAATGTATGACAAAAATCGTACCTATGCATAAGACATGCAGCAATTCTTCAGGGCCAACAATTTGTAATGATTTAAAGCAATGCTAGGAGAAAATTCGGTCTAAGCTTCCGAGATTTCAAGCATTGCTTGTGAAATATTTGTGTTCAGAATTGTCGTAGATTGCTAAGAGTATTATCCGCACAGAAACTTAAGAATTCAATTGTTGCTACCTCAAACCTCTCCAAGTTGAAGACCAGCTTTTGTCAAATTTGTATTCGGTCCCTGCCTGAGTTCCCTTGAGAACTGACCTCCCTTACTCAAAAACTTCCCCTTAAACCTCCCCAAGTCAAAATTTGAGAGGCTGTTGGGTTATTACTGAATTTTTTGGGACTCAGAAGAGAGACGAGCAGTAAAAATAAACCTTGATGATTTTAATCGAAGGAATAAAATAGAGAAGGAAGTAATAGAGAAATAGACCAAATGGACAAATGACACCTTGCTTGAAATTTCAGCATCTTGTCACCTTATTTATCTTGAAGGTTAAGGCCAAGGAAATCACCAAATTTGATTTCTCATCATTTTTCCTTGAGCAAGATTTGCTTCTCTCCATAACTGGATCCTCAAGTCACATGTTTTTGGGGCCCCTTTGAGTTCAACTTGAAGAGTTTTAACTAAACTGTATCTTGGTTTATTGCGCATCCTGTTCTTTTCTGTTTGACTTTTTGGAAAACGTGCGTCAAGCACAGTATATATACTTGTATTGATGGGATTCGACTTCCGCTTGTGGATTCATACCAGCAACTGGGGCATGATTTGGAATTCTAGATGCTAGAATTGTGGATTCTAGCATTTGATCATCACATACACTATAGTAAAAGGGGACTAACAAAAGTTCTTGGGGTAGAGACTGAAATGGCATATGACTGGGCTGAAAAAAAGAATTATTGTTCAGCAAAAAAACATTCTTTAGAATTGAAAAATGCAGCCTTTTTTTAAATTTTTGCAAAAGCCATCCTGCTCTTCACTCAAGAGATGAGGTGCTCATCTTGCATATTTTTTTGTTTAGCTCAACTTCTCCTTCAGAGTTCCTAAAATTGACATTGCATTAATTCCAAGGGTTGCCTGCAGGTCTTCCAAGGTAATCCGTCCATTTTCATTAAAATCCGCCACGTCAATGATAATGGCGGAATTGATAATCAAGTAATGGCGGCAACCCTTTGAATTAGTGCCGTTATCATGGGTTCTCTACAGCGAAATTCTCTCTACAACAAATTATTTTTCTTGTTCTTTGAATTTTGTTGTAGGAAGAGTGCACCGGTATATTGTAAATACAGTCAAACCTCTTCAAGTCAAATTTCAAGGGACCAGCAAACAATTTTAAAGTTTGGACAAGAATTTTTGTCAAGAATTCTGAAGGGAAAGCTGGGGTACAAAACAAAAGTATCTGCGAGATGGGCCCCTAATCTTTTTAGTGAAGAGCAAAAAGCTACGGTGGAGGCTTTTGATGGATTTTTTGTTTAAAATATGTACCAAAAGTGCTGACTTTTTTTTTAAACGAAGAATAATTGTTTTTCAGCTCAATCGTTCGCGGTTGAATTTACATTCCGAGAACATTTGTTTGACCCCTCGTTAGTCGTTTATACCTTCGCCACATGATTGGTTCACGAATGGATTCCGCTGCCATTGTGGCCTTCTCGGCTTCGGAATACGGTTGCCCAGATTCGTCGACGATCAAGCTGTCCTTCGTTGACGGCGGACTGCCTTCAGTGTCTAATCCGAGACAACACAAAAAGTCCACTGCGCGTTTCCACTTAGGCAGATTCGACGAAGGACGTCCTGCGGGTTCCGACGATGGCAGAGTCACGTCGTTCAACACATGATCCCAAGTCACGTTCAGCCGTTGCGCACCCGCTGAATGACCGTCGGTGTCCTCCGTCAGGGTTTCCGCCAGTTTCCTCTCTGAGCCTGGTTTGAATCAATCAAGAGGAGAAAGTGTGAGTTGAATCCCGCTTTTGGATTTCTTCGACGCATGTAAAGCGATATACTGTGTAAGGATTTGTTCATGGATATGTCTTACACTCGACTTACAAACATCTTGTGAAAATATTTTGAGATCAATTACAAAACAAGTGTACAGTATATAAATACAGGTAGACTCTCTCTGCTAAGATCATGTCCACAATGAGTTTATCTGTGAAGTACAGTATAATGCATTTTTCCTTGGTCCCATAGGGTTCTCTTCCCATGTTATTATGGGTTCTCTACAACAAAATTATAGTTTTAGAATTTGTAGAGAACCCATAATATGGGGAGAGAACCTTATGGGACCAAGAATTTTTTGCTGGTCCCTTGAAATTTGACTTAGAGAGGTCTCTCCCCATTTTATTATGGGTTCTCTACAACAAAATTATAGTTTTAGAACTTGTAGAGAACCCATAGTAACATGGGGAGAGACCTCCCTAAGTCAAATTTCAAGGGACCAGCAAAAAATTCTGAGTTGGGGACGTTTTCAAGTTAGGGCAAGCATTTTTTTTGTGGGAAAGATGAAAAAATTGCTGGACATTGTAAATGATTATACAGTACAGTGTTTTGGGCCTTGATGAATTGCTTCTTGAATGAGTCGACAGGAAGCTGAACTTGAAGGCAAGGGTTCATTTGCATTTCCCAGTAGTCTTTCACTTTCTGATTAGTCGTTCACTTCCTTTCACAATACTGTACCTCAAGTTACTTTTTTTTTTGCTTTTCTCTTTCCTGTATGAAGAAAATAATACCCAAAATGCATCAGAAAATACAAGTTACACAGGTTAGAGAGGAAATGTTTTCAAGTTAGAGGGCTTTTTAATGCATTGTTTCTAAAAGAATTCAGATGGGGACTTTAAAAAAATTCAAATGGAGGAAGTTTTGAGTTATCAAGGTTCAACTGTATGAGTTACATGCCACACAAATGCATATGATATGGTCTGAGAGACCAAAACTAACATTCAATAAAAGTGAACTTTCTCCGCAACAAAATTCAGGGGACCAAAAAAATTATTTTCAAGGAACATTTGTTGTAGAGAAAGTGTCCATTTGTTTTCCAAAAGTTCAGAAGGAACTGCTGTTTTTATTTGAGTACAACACAACCTCAAATTTCATCTCAATTTTCTGGCGAAAAATTTGCCCAAAAACCTATTCCCACATAAGAGCTTAACCTCATTTTTATTGCCTGAAAACATTTTTTTTTACTGATAATTTGCAAGTAAATATCTCTGTAATTTCATGAAAGAACACAGAGCATTGAAGCAGGATTGGTGCCAGACAAAATTTCGAGTCCATTTTCTCATCTAAAACTACATAAATTTCTGACTCTAACATCACTGTGGTTTCATGATTATTATTCTTCATGTAAACCACGCGCACCCCATTTTCTGACCCACTTTCTCAGACAACAGTTGCGCGTGGTACTGAGGTGAATATTTTACATCACTAACGGCCTTTTATCGAAGTAATTTTTTATTATGCTGTACCATTTACTTCCTTAGGACTGCGTTCCGGAGTTGCCACACCTTCAAGTCCGGTTTCTTTTTGAACATCGAGGCTACTTTTCGGTATTAGTTGCTTGGAATTTCGTTCCCCGCGGTCCAAGTCGACTCTGATCTCTTGGGAATGTCGAGTCCAAAAGGTCAATCGGTGCAACTGTCGAAAAAGAGACAAAAATATACATCTTGAATCGTCGAGAATCAGCCGTTTTGTAGCATCAACTCAACCCCCATTTTTGTGACGATGATCCGAGGACCACACGGAACTTTTTTGCATATCACATGAGTTCAGAAATATATCCGTCAAAATATGTACTGAACATCACCGTTTGGTCCACGATTAATTTTTTAAATTCTTACGACAGAATAGCAAATATATAGAAGTACTCGCATTTTTTTATTCCATTAAAATGTGGCTGAATCATGGTTTAATGTATCAAAATAATGAGGCACAGTACTTTTATTCATACGGAAATAATTACAGACGAACATTACACGAATTTGTGTGAAAGTGATTCTTTATTTTTTTTAGTGGAACAATTATATTGAAAATGCATACTTCGAATCAATTTCATCGATCTTTATTGGCGCGTATTTTTGGCAAGTCTCGTTTGCAGACTTGAAAATGCAATGCGGCTTATTTTTGAGACGTCGAAGAATACTGTACTTGAACTCTCGTAATAAATTATTGTATTGTGATCCTCTTTTTGGCTCTTGGGATTATTTTCCTATATGTCTCGTAGATGTCGCTGGTCTCACAAACATTACCGACCGTCATTTTCACTCATTCTACGGTAGCTCGTATTTACAGAGAATAAATATTTCTTGTCATTTGGGTTACACGTGACCTGGTCAAAATGGAGAAATATTTCCAATTAGTAATTGAAGTGATACATTCTTTTGATAGCTTCTGAAAATGATCCATCTTGTACTACAGTAAAATATTGTTACAACAAATAACCATTGCAACAAAGTTTTCAGTATAACAAACATTTTCCAAGTCCTGGCAGAAATCCTATAGGGTACATGTTATAAAAATCTTATTACAACAAACTTGCAGATTCCAGTGCAACAAACATTTTTGAGGAACATGCTATGATTATTCCTCAATGAAAAATCCCTAATGGAGGCAGGAACAGTCTCACATTTCCCATTCAAAATGTGACTGTTTCTTGGAACATAAGGTGGGATCAAGCACAAAAATTCTTCAAAATTCACCTGGGAATCCTCTCTTTCTAAAATTATTCTTATATTAGGAATGATGTTGGGGGGGGGGGCAGTTAGATGGGAAAAAATGAGCCCAGCAATACTCATGTTAAGAAGGGTTTGTATGCTTGAGAAACCCTAGTGATGTAAAAATTGTCAGCAATTTTGGAACATTCACCCTTACAAATCTTTGCAGGAATTGCTTGAAAAACGTAGAGTCAAGAAAGTGTGCTAGTATTTACCTGTTATTCGGAGTATCTGTTTTTTTGTTAAATCAACAATTACATTTCTTTTCAAAGATCAGTTTTTTAACCATTGAAAAACATCTGCAAAGGCCACAAAAGGAAGACGTTAAATGTATGCAGGTCTAATTCAAAGAAAATCTTCCAATCAGTCAATAATTTTAAAAATCTCATTATAACAAATTATTTGTTCCACAAACTTTTTTTCAAGTCCCCACAAGTTTGTTGTAACATGATTTTACTGTATTAATGATGACCAGAGGATTGAACCACTCATTTGCGGTGACTAAAGCTAGGATATGAGCATTTTGAAACCGCGTTCATTTGGCTATCATCATTAGCCATACCGAAAAAACTCACGTGTATTTTGTCGATGGGTTTGGTCATGAGAGAAACCGAAATGGCAGTGAGAGTGACCAGCAGGTTTTCTCGGTTAGGTTTTACGTCCTTCACTTGAAAAGGGTGCTTTTAGAACTGCTTTAGACCAGCGCCTAGACCGTTTGGATCTGTTTGTTTTTTTAACTGGCTTAAAGCTAAAGGAGTTTAGCGGCACTATACCAAACCAAGTCTAGCAAAATAAATTATTGTTTAGATTTTTAGAACAATTTCATTTTCTGGTCCCTCCTCCATCAGTATATATATGACAAAATATATTTATATTATTTGAGGTTCATGAAAGAAATAATTATATTTGTAATAATGAAGGTTCTTTCCCAAAGGACTCCTTAGAATAGTTAGATTTTAATGCTTCTCAACCCGAATAATCTAAAAAAGAAGAAGATCCAGAACTGAATAAAATTAGCTCCACACATTAAAATCGTGTTAAAATGAAGTTTTTGGGAGCAGGATAACATTTTGTAGAACAAATAATTCATGGTTGATAAATTGAAAAAAGAAACAATGTCATTAGGGCAGGGACACAAAAAAACGAATTTGTTGAAAGTAACAATTCATTATATCAAAATTCTTTGGAATGAGATACTGCTTTTCTAAACTCAACTCATTGTTATGCAAAATATTCATCATGAACTTTCAGGGAAATGTTTTGAGTTGCTTTGGGTTACAGTGAGACCCCCACATGTGGACACTTGACATTCAGACAGTTCAACATAGGGACACTTATTTTCCCATCAAAAATTAAAACAAAAGCCCTGACATGAGGACACTGACTCAACATAGGGACATTTTGTAATAAAATTGCAAATAAGTTTCAGAGAAAATTGCAAGAAATAGATATTTCCAACCCTAAAATTGAAGTAAGAAACGTTCTTGGGCATTTCTCTCACCAATTTATGATCCATTTAGCTAATCTTAAAAATTACCTCCAGCCTAGGAGTTCCTTCTCTCTTTATCATTGAATGTTATTCTTACAGAGAATGCAAACATTTCTATGTACTGTACAGAGGTATCAATATTAAATTTACCAATTGTCAATATTGTGTTGAGAATCTTGAGATACGGTATATTGATTGAATCAGTTTACATTGGGAGAACATTTTTATTTTCATGGAATTATGGTGAGTATTTTGTCCATAAAAGACCAATTAAAAATTATATAATGTTGTCTAAGGGAAAATGAGACTCAACTTAGGGACATTTTGACTTAGGTACACTCTTGATGCACCAATCACGTCCACATCTTGGGGTCTAACTGTATATGGCTGTTCTCTGCTCAACTTTTTTGGTAATGAATAAACTCAATTTCGAACTGAGCGCTTGAAAAATTAGCATTTTTTTTTGGTGGAATCATGGCAAATTTTTTAATTTTCCTGCTGATTTGTGAATTTTTTCCAGAAGGAACACCAACCTGAACCACAGGGTGGGACGGTGTACATGAATTCGAGAACGAATCGGAAAATCCCGGCCGCGAGTCCGACCATTAAACCAGTGAATGCTCCCTGTAAAAAAAAAATAAAATAAAATCAATGAGCAACGGTCCATCGATTGCTGCTTATTATTGTAATCTGTACCGACCTTCTCGTTGACGCGTGGGACGAATATTCCCAGGACGTAAATGGCGCAAATCGGTGGTGCCAAGAAGCTCGTTACGCTTTGCATGTAATGAAAGAGTTGGCTTCCTTTGGAACTCATGATCACAGGGATCCACAAAATGCTGAGCGACACCAAGCCCAACACGAACAGTCTGAAAATTCCGTATCGTCAGCCGCGAGAATTTCACTTTTCTTCAACTTTTAAAGACTATAAAAAATAAAGCTAGAGGATCTCAAATTTTTCATCACTAAAATTGACAATAGTTCAGAGATCCCTTCAAATTTTTCTTTGGATTAAAAAAAAAAGTTTGATGATCATTATATGGAAATGTAAATAAAATGCGTGAAATGATGCAAGCCAAAAAAAAATTGAATGAGCTTTTCCATTTGAGCACTGCATCCCAGTATGAAGGTTGTCCAAGTTCTGGGCAGGATTAAATACAGCAAGACCCCAATATGCAGACACTCCGACATATGGACAATTCAACTCAAGGACACTCAAAAGCAAAAAAAAAGCAGGCCCAATATCTGGACATTGGCACAAGTATCAGGGACACTTTTCTGAAATTTTCCCAAAAATCACAACCTTTTTTATTTTTATCTTTTGAAGAAATCATAAATCAAGCTATTTATATTCACAAAAATTGAAGAAATATTTCATGATAAATTCACTCTACTTCATAATCAAAAGCAAGCTGATTTTGTGATTTTTTCAGAGGTTTTTTTTTTATCTGTGCATATTCCAGCAATACTTCTTCTTTTTACTTTTTTGATCTCCTTTTAATACGTCAAGATCAGATTCTATGTGGGTTTGTTTAGCACTGCTGTTTTCCACAAATTGAAGTTAAGGGACACTTTTTTATTAATTTTTCTTGAGGACTTATTTCTAATTTTTGACAAAAATAAGAGCCAATTAAATACATTAGCATTGAAGTCTAATGGAAAATAAGACTTGACCTAGGGACACTCCAACATCAGGACACTCTTGATGCACCAATTATGTCTGCATCTTGGGGTCTCACTGTGCAAGACAGTATTTATAAAATTTCCCAAAATATGAAAGAACTCTATAATTTCCCACATGATGCTCAAGGAAGCCAGCAATTTATTTGATAAGTTGTTTCAGTACATACTGTACACTGCATGATGAGAAGTCTGCAATGAAAAACCAACTTAAAGCCGGCTTCCCAATGATATTCCATTGAAAATAGAAGAGATATCATCCAATCAAAATGAAGTTGAGAAACTCAGATCAGCAGCTGATCAATCATTGATTGCGTATAATGGAAAGGAACCTGTATGCAATAGAATCTTGTTACAACATTACAAAGCATTTGGGACTTCAAAAAGAAAGCTCCATGGCTGCAAACAAAAATTCATTAAAACAATAAATAAAAATACCATTAAAGCTATATTAAACAATATGGGCCAAAAAGACACATTTGTTGTAATCATTAATTTTTTCATGGCAAGATTCATTGTACAGTGAGACCCCCAGATGCGGACATATTTGGTGCATCAAGAGTGTCCCTAAGTTGAGTCTTATTTTCTCATAGACTTACATTGTAAGATTTTTAATTGGTGTTTTATGAAAGAAATATTTTTCAGAATTCCATGAAAAATTGTTTACCACCTGAATTTGATTAAGTGAATATATTTTCAACTCAATAAGAACATTTGGAGCATTGATTAGTGTATCTCTGTGCTCTACATTGAAATGCTGGCATCTACAAAGATGAAATTCAATTCACAAAGAGAGAAGGAAGTCCCTCTGTGCAATAGACAATCTTTTTTAATTAGCTGAATGGATGGGAGAAATGACAAAAGAAATTTTCTTGCATGAATCTTAGGGTTGGAAATACCTGTTTCTTGCAATCAAGCCAAATAAAAGTCAATTTTTGTGAAATTTATTGGCAATTTTATCATGCAATGTCCTCATTTCAAGTCAATTTCCATATTTCAGACCTTTTTATGCCCTTTTTATTGAAAAATAAAAGAGCCAATCCAAAATGCAGGAAGTGAACTTTTCCCACGAAAATCTTGACGAAATCTGGTCGCGGATCTGGCAAACCTAGACAAACAAAAAAATTGACCGAATTTCGATTTCCTCAAATCGCCGTCTGTACCAAACTAAGTCTAGCAAAACGAATTATTGTTGAGAACAATTTCATTTTCTGGTCCCTCCTTCATGAGTATGAATATGACAACAATACTATTTGAGGTTCATTAAAGAAAGAAATATATTCATAATAATGAAGGTTCTTTCCCAAAGGACTCCTTAGAATAGTAAGATTTTAATGCCCCTTTTGACCCGAATAATCTTTTCAAAAATGAAATAAAAAGATTTCCAGAACTGAACAAAATTAGCTTTACACATTAAAATCGCGTTACAATAATTTTTTTGGGAGCAGGACAACATCTTGTAGAACGAATAATCCGTTGTCAATAAATTAAAAAAGAAACGATGTCATTTAGGCAGGGACATGAAAAAAAAACGAATTCGTTGAAAGCAATAATTCGTTATATCAAAATTCTTTGGAATTAGATACTGCTTTTCGAAACTCAACTCATTGTTATGCAAAATATTCTTCATGAACTTTTAGGGAAATTTTTTGAGTTGATTTGGGTTACAGTGAGACCCCCACATGTGGACACTTGACATTCAGACAGTTCAACATGGGGACACTTATTTTCCCATCAAAAATTAATACAAAAGGCCTGACATGAGGACACTGACTCAACATAGGGACATTTTGTAATAAAATTGCAAATAAGTTTCAGAGAAAATTGCAAGAAATAGATATTTCCAACCCTAAAATTGAAGTAAGAAACGTTCTTGGGCATTTCTCTCACCAATTTACCATCCATTTAGCTAATCTTAAAAATTACCTCCAGCATAGGGGTTCCTTCTCTCTTTTTCACTTGAATGTTATTCTTACAGAGAATGCCAGCATTTCTATGTATTGTACAGAGGTATCAATATTAAATTTCCCAATTGTCAATATTGTGTTGAGAATCTTGAGATATGGTATACTGTATTGATTGAATCAGTTTACATTGGGAGAACATTTTTATTTTCATGGAATTATGGTGAGTATTTTGTCCATAAAACACCAATTGAAAATTGTATAATGTTGTCTAAGGGAAAATGAGACTCAACTTAGGGACATTTCAATTTAAGGACACTCTTGATGCACCAATCACGTCCACATCTCGGGGTCTAACTGTATATGGCTGTTCTCTGCTCAACTTTTTTGGTAATGAATAAACTCAATTTCGCACTGAGTGCTTGAAAAATTAGCGTTTTTTTTTGGTGGAATCATGGCAAATTTTTTAATTTTCCTGCTGATTTGTGAAATTTTTTTCAGAAGGAACACCAACCTGAACCACAGGGTGGGACGGTGTACATGAATTCGAGAACGAATCGGAAAATCCCGGCCGCGAGTCCGACCATTAAACCAGTGAATGCTCCCTGTAAAAAAAAAATAAATGAAATCAATGAGCAACGGTCCATCGATTGCTGCTTATTATTGTAATCTGTACCGACCTTCTCGTTGACGCGTGGGACGAATATTCCCAGGACGTAAATGGCGCAAATCGGTGGTGCCAAGAAGCTCGTTACGCTTTGCATGTAATGAAAGAGTTGGCTTCCTTTGGAACTCATGATCACAGGGATCCACAAAATGCTGAGCGACACCAAGCCCAACACGAATAGTCTGAAAATTCCGTATTGTCAGCCGCGAGAATTTCACTTTTCTTCAATTTTCAAAGACTATAAAAAATAAAGCTACAGGATCTAAAATTTTTCATCACTAAAATTGACAGTAGTTCTGACATCACTTCAAATTATTCTTTGTTTTTTTCTTATTTCTGTGATGATCATTATATGGAAATGTAAATAAAATGCGTGAAATGATGCAAGCAAAAAAAAATTGAATGAGCTTTATATTTGAGCGCTTCTTCCCAGTATGAAGGTTGTCCCAGTTCTGTGCGGGATTAAATACAGCAAGACCCCAATATGCAGACACCCCAAAATTAATTTAGAGCCAGCTTCCCAGTGATATTCCATTGAAAATAGAAGAGATATCATCCAATCAAAATGAAGTTGAGAAGTTCAGATCAGCCACATATATCCTGACCAATCATTGATTGCATATAATAAAAATGAGCCTGTGTGCAAATCTTGTTACAACACAAAGCGTTTGGGACTTCAAAAAGAAAGCTCTGCTGCTGTAAACGAAAATTCATTAAAACAATATGTAAAAATACCATTACGGCTATATTTAAGAATATGGAAAAAACACATTTGTTGTAATCATTAATTTTTTCATGACAAGATTCATTTTACAGTGAGACCCCAGATGAGGACAGAATTGGTGCATCAAGAGTGTCCCTAAGTTTATTTGTCCTTAAGTTGAGTCTTCTTTTCTCATAGACTTACATTGTAAGATTTTTAATTGGTGTTTTATGAAAGAAATATTCTTCAGAATTCCAAAAAAAATATTTACCGCTTGAATTTGATTCAGTGAATATACTTTCATATCAATAAGAACATTAGGAACATTGATTAATGAATATCTGTACTGTGCACTGAAATGCTGGCATCTACAAAAATAAAATTCAAGTAACGAAGAGAGAAACAAGCCCCTCTATGCAATAGGTAATTTTTTAATTAGCTGAATGGATGGGAAAATGATGGGAGAAATGACAAAGAATTTTTCTTGCATGAATCTTAGGGTTGGAAATATCCGTTTCTTGCAATCAAGCCAAATAAAAGTCAATTTTTGTGAAATTTATTGGCAATTTTATCATGCAATGTCCTCATTTCAAGTCAATTTCCATATTTCAGACCTTTTTATGCCCTTTTTATTGAAAAATAAATGTCCCCATGTCCAATTGTCCTCCTGTTATTGAGGTGTCCGCATGTGTAGGTCTCACTGTATTGCAAATACAGTAAATTCTACTCTGCATGGCGCAAACCTGCCGACGATGAGCTGCTCAGCCTCGGAACAGGTCCTTCGGAACCGTCTCCAAATATCAATAGTGAAGACAGTGGAGGAGGAATTGAAGATGGACGTCAAAGAGCTCATGATGGCGGCCATCATGCAAGCCAACATGAGCCCTCGCAACCCCGCAGGCAAGAGGTTGATGACCAAGTACGGGTACGCAATGTTCCAGCAACCCTTGCGGTTCCCGCAGAACTCTTCGCACGTGACTGGGTCAGCACAGGCGACCTGGTTCGGGAACAGAACCCGGGCCGCCATGCCGGGAAACACCAGGAGGAAGAGCGGGAGGAACTTGAGGTAGGCGGCGATGAGACAGCCGCCCTTGGCGTGGATCATGTTCTTGGAGGCCAGGACTCGTTGCACTATCACCTTGGGATGCAAATTACTTTTTCTTTTTTTTATCTAACGACATGCGTAACAAATAGGCATAAGTTGATTACAGTGAGTCCCCGTATAACGAAAGACTCGCACAAGGAGGAAAAGTGACTCACTTGCCAAAAAAAAAATTTAATTTAATTTCGAATCAAAATTCCATAAAATTTCAATTCAAATTTCCAAGTTTTTTTTTTAAATAATTCAGGGAAATGAGAAAAGAAGGGTATAGGTTTGAATCTTCTTGTCTGTTCAAAATTTGTAAAATTCAGAAAGCTATAAGATTTCCATAAAATTTCAATTCAAATTTCCAAGTTTTTTTTTTTAAATAATTCAGGGAAATGAGAAAAGAAGGGTATAGGTTTGAATCTTCTTGTCTGTTCAAAATTTGTAAAATTCAGAAAGCTATAAGAACAAGAAGTTCTTAGGACAACTAGAATTCCATAATGATCAATTTTAAATTTATAAATTACCGTATTTACTTGAGTATACCACGCGCCCTGAAGTAAGGCACGCACAGGGTTTTTTCAGTTGGAAATTTGGTTAAAATCTTATCCCCAAGTATGACATGCACCACAATTTTTAGTAAATCTAAAACCACAAAGTTTTGAAAATAGAAACAAAAAAATTTGACTTTAGACATGAATTTAACAAAAATCTGACCAATTTTCAACTTTTTCAGTACAAAAAAGTTTTCTTGTCACTTTTTTTCTGAATTTCTCCCTTATGATTAAGTATAATGCACATAGAACTTTCTAAAACTTCTTGAAAAATTTGTACCCGCTTATGACGTGCACCCCATTCTTCTGGAATTTGAGAAAAAAGGTGCGTGTGGTACTGGAGCAAATTTGGTAATGCTGAAAAATGCACAGTTCATGGTTTATCATTCTTTGTAATAGTTTACAACAAATTAAATCACTCAATTAAATCGAAAAATGTTACGAAGTACCATTTTTCGTACTCCGAGGAATTCACGCTTCCACGAGACATTCCTCTATTTCCGATTGAGGTGAGATTTTCTCACCAGCACCTTTTGTGGTGCTCCCTTCTCATGCGTTACAATNGATGACCAAGTACGGGTACGCAATGTTCCAGCAACCCTTGCGGTTCCCGCAGAACTCTTCGCACGTGACTGGGTCAGCACAGGCGACCTGGTTCGGGAACAGAACCCGGGCCGCCATGCCGGGAAACACCAGGAGGAAGAGCGGGAGGAACTTGAGGTAGGCGGCGATGAGACAGCCGCCCTTGGCGTGGATCATGTTCTTGGAGGCCAGGACTCGTTGCACTATCACCTTGGGATGCAAATTACTTTTTCTTTTTTTTATCTAACGACATGCGTAACAAATAGGCATAAGTTGATTACAGTGAGTCCCCGTATAACGAAAGACTCGCACAAGGAGGAAAAGTGACTCACTTGCCAAAAAAAAAATTTAATTTAATTTCGAATCAAAATTCCATAAAATTTCAATTCAAATTTCCAAGTTTTTTTTTTAAATAATTCAGGGAAATGAGAAAAGAAGGGTATAGGTTTGAATCTTCTTGTCTGTTCAAAATTTGTAAAATTCAGAAAGCTATAAGAGCAAGAAGTTCTTAGGACAACTAGAATTCCATACTGATCAATTTTAAATTTATAAATTACTGTATTTACTTGAGTATACCACGCGCCCTGAAGTAAGGCACGCACAGGGTTTTTTCAGTTGGAAATTTGGTTAAAATCTTATCCCCAAGTATGACATGCATCACAATTTTTAGTAAATCTAAAACCACAAAATTTTGAAAATAGAAACAAGAAATTTGACTTCAGACATGAATTTAACAAAAATCTGACCAATTTTCAACTTTTTCAGTACAAAAAAAGTTTTCTTGTCACTTTTTTCTGAATTTCTCCATTATGATCAAGTATAATGCACATAAAACTTTCTAAAACTTCTTGAAAAATTTGTACCCGCTTATGACGTGCACCCCTTTCTTCTGGAATTTGAGAAAAAAAGGTGCGTGTGGTACGGGAGTAAATTTGGTAATGCTGAAAAATGCACAGTTCATGGTTTATCATTCTTTGTAATAGTTTACAACAAATTAAATCACTCACAATATACAGTAATCATACTAATCATGAGGAAAAATGCATTTCAAATGCGGAAATTCTGCATAATGAAATTAATTCAGGAACAGAATACTTTTATAATGCAGGACATGCTATGAAGTACAGGTGGTACCTTGCAATTTGACCTCCCTCAATTTGACCATTGTGAAATTTTAGAGTTGAATTTGCTTGGAGGTTGACTTGCAATTTGACCTCCCAAAATTTGAGCTCTTCTGGCCTCTTAAAATAGTGTTCTTGTGCTGTTTGCCCTTGATTCTTTTAGTGTGTCTTGCAATTTGATCATTTTGCAATGCAACCATTTTGCAATTTGACCCTAGTTGGGCAACAGATTAAGGTTGAATTGCAAGGTACCACCTGTACTGCATTATTTTCCTTCCAGAAAACAGGGGGGGACTTGCTAGTTTAATATTTTCCTGACCTGGTCTGAGCACCAATACCAAATGGCAGATATGGGAAGTCCAAACACAATCCCACTCCATGGGATATCCGATTTGCCTGGAGTGGAGTCCCTGAGCAAGTGCATGGCATAGCTTGGGGGTTGGCCACAAGTCATGTTCTTCAAAGGGTCCCAAGCCGCGTTATCTGCTTGGGCATGGAAGAAGCGCTCCACCAACTGGGAATAACCCCCAACAGCAATGAAACCTGTCAAAAAATATACTTTGTTTTTAGAGTAGAAGAATGTACATGACAACAGTAAAATCCTCTTCCAGTCAAACCTCTCCAAGCCAAATGTCAAGAGACCAGCAGAAAAATTTGACTTGCTGGTGAGGTTTTGAGCAATATGAAACCAGAATTTTTGTCATGGAAAACAGAAGAATTACAGGAAATGTCAATTGTCATATTTGGGCTTCAAATTACTTCTTGAATGAGTTTACAGCATGCTGAACTTGGAGGCAAGGGTTCATTTGCCCAATTAGTATTTCACTTCCTTTCAAAACACATCAAGTTACTTTTTATTGCTTTCATCTTTCCTGCATTGATAAAATAATAGCTGAGAGGCCTCAGAAAATTTGAGTTAGGCAGGTTCCAGAGAAAAAGGCTTTGAGTTAGGGAGGTTTTTAATGAATTTTTTCTAAGAATATTCAGACAGGGGCTTGCAACCACTTTGCAATTTCACCCCAGTCCAGCAACAGATCAGGGTCAAATTTTGCATAGGGTACCAACCTGTATGATTTAAAATGGAATTGAACACGCTTTAATTGATTTTATTTGTTTTCTGCAGCTCAATCTGCTACTGAGCTATTGTAAATTAAAAATTGGTTCATTTTTTGGCCAACCCTGTATTTATCAGATACAAATTATTTTCATAAGATGTACAATATATTCATCATGTATACAATTTATTTATCTGGTTTTAAATATATTTGGCTGGCATAACATATATTCATCAGAAACAAAATATATGCATCAGTTCTAAATGCACAGTATGTTTATTCATGCATAAAATCTAATTACAGTATCTGGTATAAAACATATTTTTTTGGCACAACACATATTTATATGGTATAAAATGCATTCATCAAATACAAAATCTATTCATCAGTTTAATATATATACATTCATCAGGTATAAAATCTATTTATCTGGTATAAAACATATTTTTTGGCATAATACATATTTATCTGGTACAGAATACTGTATATTTAGCTGGTATAAAATCTGTTCATCAAATACAAAATCTATTCATAAGTTTTATATAAAAAGTCTATTTACAAGATACGCAATACAATTCTCAAATTAATATCCTGTTTGATTTCTTCATACAATAATATGAGCACTGATGCGACAATTACAGTTTATAAAGTGCAATCATTTCGAAAGAACTAACTTTTGACCATGACGATGAAGGCTCCAAGAATCATGATGATGGCCTGCACGAGGTCAGTCCAAATTACGGCTGCGAGTCCACCAGCCATTGTGAACACTCCAGCAATCAAGAGCAGGATCAGTACTGAAATGTACCAGTGCTTCAGGCCAAAGGCCTGGTCTAGGAAAATCGATCCTGCGTACAAGTCTGCCTGTGGGTAAACATTTATACAGTATATATAGGTACAGTTGAACCTCTCCAAGTCAAATTTCAAGGGTCCTGCAAAAAAAAATTTGACTTGGTGAGGTTTGGAATTACACAGGTTTGAACTAAAAAACAAAGCCCCTTTTTCAGGAAAACTTAGAAAAAATGCAAATGGTGATATTCTGGGGCTTAAATGGCTTCTTAAATGAGTTGAAAGGCTGCTGAACTTAGAGACAGGGGTTCATTTGCCCAATCAAGTCTTGCACTTCCTTTAAAAAACAAATTTCTGTTTTTAGTGCCTTTTTCTTGGGTCAAGAAAATAATGGTCAACAGGCCACAGAAAATTTGGTAATTTCCTGTTATCTCTGTACATCATTCCTAGACCACACTACCATCCAGACAAATCTTTAATCACCTACCAGGAACTGTAAATTTTATTTTTCCGCATTCTGCTGAAACTGATTTTGGGAGGCAGTTAGGTAAAGTTAGGTTAGGCCAGGTTGTGTTAGTTACAAATATCTTTTAATTAACATAACCTGACCTAACCTAACTTCACCTAACCACCTCCCAAAATCAGTTTCAG